TGATTGTCTGTGTTCATGCCAAGATCCTCAAGTTCAGGTGGAATGACACACAATAATGTTATTCACAAATGGCTGAAGTATAAATCAGAAAGTAAATTTGATTATTTTCATCAAGAAATAAAATTCACAAGTTAGCCAGATAATCTTGTAGACTTGAAGATGTCTTCCAACCAAATAAACAGGTGGGTTTATGAGGGTGGAAATGGACCAAAGTCATTTGCATTTTCTTAGAGCCTTATGTGATTCAACTGTGGTATCTTGATATATTCCTCCCTGTGTGGGATAAAATATTCAGAATATTTGTCTCATCAGAGCACTTGCTTTTCTGGATAGTACTGGAAACAGACTGTCCAATTCTTAGTTTTTGGTTTCCATTTTAATCCATTATGTTTCTGAATTTGTTCTTTATATAATTTATAGTACAGATTATTTTATTTACCTATATCTTTACCCTGGCATTGTTTGTCAGTCAGTTTTCCAATGCTTTTCTCCATTAATTTTCAAAGCATTTTTTAGGATGGATAGCCTCTACAGACAGCTAATATCAGTCTCTCTGTGCTTTTTATTTCTTTAATTTACAAAGATCAATATTATTTCTATAATTTGTGATTATTTTACAGTAATACCAGCATTGGCCTGTTGTGATGACCATAATGCTATTCTCAAGAGCTGTGTTCTGGGCGGTATATACAGAACTGTTGCATTTAGACACTTTTGCTTTGGGGTGGTCCAGTGGTTGCAATAAAAGAAAAGGAGCTAAAAAAATTAAAAATTAAAAAATGTTTAAAAAAGAAAAGGAACTGAAAGACACTAAAAAATTGGTATCGAGTATGAAAACAGACTAATTATTTTTCAAAGCAGCAATGAAAACCCCATTCTCCTTTCTTTTTCTTGCCCTTGACCTTGCAGTAGGAAAGGTAGCACTGAACTCTGTAGAGACACAAAGTAGAGTTCAATTATTCTGCAAAGGGCACAAATTACTATGTAGTTATATCAGGGAGGTTTCAGATTTCCTAAGGCAGATGTGTCTTTCCCAGGCTCAAAGAACACAGACTCTTTTTTTATGACTTCATTTTGTGATGTTAGTCAAATTGGGGCCTGGAGGCAGCAGAAAGCCCATAATGGCCCCTTTTTTCCGTGCAAATTCATTCTAGTGCTGTAATTCAATCGAAGAGAGACATGGGTGGCTCCTAAGTTCAGGAAAGCCACACTTACAATGTCCCCCATAAGGCTGATCTTACATAATTTCAAAGCCTTCCTTTTAAATATATTCCATGGGCTTTTGGATCATTGTTTTCAGTGCTGTTTATAATAGGTAAATGGTAAAAGAAGCATAAGCACGTTTGAACTATAAACCCTGGCAGATAGAAGGAAGCATTATTCCTAGCTTGCTTTGACAACGTTATCACTGCCAAGGGCCCAGCTGAAGGGCCCCCACTCTGCCAGTCTTGTCGTCCTCACAGCCTTAGAAAATCAGCTCTAATCTCTGGATTTTAGGGAAAGTATAATTTGGCTTTTTCGAAAAGGTGATGCAATAGATTCATCCAGAAGGGTGAAAAATTCTTCCTATAATCTAAAAATACAGGTACAGACCTAATTAAATTATTAAAAAGAAAGTTTGTTTAGAGTGCCATGAATTGTCTAAAGTGAAAGTAACAAAATTATCAGAGGTATTTATAAAAATTGTTTTAAATTGATATATGAAAACCTTTTTTCTTATCTGTAAATTTATGGCCTTGAAAGACAGTGTCATAAGGGCATCATTTTTATGATATCAAGTGTGAAAAAGATTGAAGGTTATCACCCAAACCAGAGGCTCTAACCTGCTGTAAGATGGTGACAGATGAGGTTGTCAGATCAGGTAGTAGATTACTGGGCAAATTGTTGAATTTTCCTTTCTATGGTGATCCTTGTACATTTTAACAAATTCTTTCTCTGTTTTGAGATGATTTAAACATACAGTTATGAAGGAGATCAGAGCATTTAAATCAAAGTTGAAAACTGTCTCTGCTTCCAAGAGTACAAATATGTTGTAATAAACATATACATAAGTAAATGAAAAAAATACTCACACGTTTGAAAGCATTTGCTTTCTGGCAATCTCTTTTGGAGAAATAAAACAGTAGAGAAGAGAGAAAGTTTAGAGAGCTGAAGTTTTGTTCTAACATCCTAATTCTACTCTCTAACCTTCTGAGTCTGTCCCTTCCATCTGAGTTTCTGATCACTGAAATGGAAGCTCCACATGGACAGGAATCCCCATCTGGTTTTTTTTACTGATGTATTCCAGCCATCCAGCAAGTGCCTGACACATTGTAGGCCCTCAATTTATATTTATTTAATAGATGAATTCAAAAAATGAGGTTAGTCATAGCAGCCTCTATATTTGGCTTGAATGTTTTATGGGGTGAAAATGAGACAAAGGAACTTGAACTACCCTGAAAGAAGATTCTTGTGTAAATCCAAAGCGAGTTGGCCAGTTAGCTCAGTTGGTTAGAACACAGCCTTGTTAACATCAAGGTCAAGGGTTTGGATCCCTATACCGGAAAGCTGCCAAAAAAAAAAAAGGTGAACAACATGATATTGTAGTCACTTTTCTTTCATTGCTTATACAGCCTTCCAAATCGAAATCATCTTTGAAGTCCACAGCAGTTAACATCTGCCAGAAGGAGCATGATTCCAAGACTCAGCCTTGTTCACCTCTCTTTGTATAGCCTCAGCTCTCTGCTGTGACATGGTGATAAAAAGCCTGGGCTCTGTGCTAATGAATCCCAGTTTCACCAGTAGTTATATGACCTTGATCATGTTATTTAACCTTTGGTGACTTAGTCCTCTAAAAATGTAAGCACAAGTAATATCAATGCAGGGAGTTGTAAGGATAAAATGAGATAAAACATGTTAAGTTCTTTGCCTAGTATAGCACGTGGGAAGTACTCCACACGTGTTAACTTCCATTATTTTGCTGTCAAAGGATGTCTTCTCAGCTTATTGTTTCTTTATCTGTTTTTCTACTTGAGCGTGTGTATTAGTTTTCCTAGGGCTTCCATAAAAAACTGCCAAAAACTGGGTGGCTTGGAACCAACAGAAACTTCTTTTCTCACAGTTCTGGAGTTTAGAAGACCAAAAATCAAGGTGTTGGCAGGGCCATGCTTCTTAGAAACCTGTAGGGAAGTATCTTTTCTTGCATATTCTAGCTTCTGGTGGCCACAGACATTCCTTGGCTTGTGGCTGCAAAATCCAAATCTCTGCATTTGGGTCTCTCTTCACATCGTCTTCCTCCTATGTGTGTGTCTGTCCGAATTTTACCTTTTTACAAGAACACCAGTCATATTGGATTAGGGCCTACACTAATGACCTCATTTTAACTTGATTATCTCTGTAAAGACCCTATTTCCTAAAGAGATTACATTCTGAGATACTTCAACATATTGGCAGGTAGGGGAGAGGGAGGATTATAATTCAACCTACAATAACATGATTCTATTTCTTTCTCAACTAAGAGTGCCTTTCCACCAGACTGGGAGCTCTTAGTTTTAATTTTAACTCTGCCACTAACTTTTTTTTTCTTTTTTAAATTATGAATTATTTTGACACTAACTATCTACATCAAACAAAATCACTCAAATTCTCCAAGCCTGGACTACTTCACTATAAAATGAAAGGACTGGGCCAGATGATGTCTCCTATGTGTTCCAACTCCAGAAGGTCATGTTTATAGTATGTGGCTCTCTTTTCCTCAACTACCTTGATGCTCTGTGCATCTTGATGTCCCTGTAATTCATAATAAAGCTTCTCACCATCACCACAAAAAAATAACTATGTAAAGGAATGGATATGTTAATTAGCTTGATTTAGAAATTCCACAATATATACATATATCAAAACATCTTGTTGTACACATAAATATATACAATTTTTGTCAATTAAAATAATAATAGAAAAAAGGTTCTGATATATCTCATTGCATTTTCAATTGTCTCAATTTATGCTTGGATTAAAATCCCACTTTGTATTGCTAATGGGGATACTGGTTTTTACCAAACAATGCTTTGTTAGACTTAAATTGTTAAAATATTTAAATAATGCCAGTGAGCCTTTTCCATGTATTTTTATTGCTTTTTGGAATTTTCTAAAATTCATAATTATTAGAATTTTTTTATGCCAAGTACCTACCATATAGGAATAATATCCAAGAAATGAGTGTTGGGAAAATAGGATAATTTAATCAGAACCCCTCACCTTAGGCATGGTTGGGGGTGGTGAGCGCATTCTTTGTAAGTTTGGGTGGGGGGGTGGAGTTAGTGTGCCTGAGCAGCGCTACCACCCTGGCTGGTGTGTGCCTTGGCGTCCATCACGTGTGGCCATGCTCTCCAACCTATGACTTCTAAGGACCTGTTTGTTGGTTACCTAGCTCATAGGCCTGCATGTGAGGGTTCTGGTGACCCAGCCTGGAACGTGAGGGTTCTGGGGACCCAGCCTGGCACATGAGGGTTCTGGGGACCCAGCCTGGCATGTGAGGGGTCTGGGACCCAGCCTGGCATGTGAAGGGTTTGTGACTCAGTCTGTGAATGGGCTTGAGGACAATTGGCGTCGTCGGCAGGATTACAGGCAGGAAAAAGAGCATGACAATGAGGGTTTGTATTATGTGTCTTTTCTGATTATAGTATGATACATTTGTGTGAAAATCATCAAACCAAAACTCAAGACATTAGGGAAAGTGAGAATTAAATTCTGACACTGATTCCTGACTACTGGCAACTTTACTCAAACTGCTTGGACTACTGTTATAGAAGTGCTTAAGAAGTCTACTCTGCCACTGGAAGATAATTTTAAAGAGAAAAGAAAAAGGACTCTTTGCCGACTCTGGGATATAACATTTTTAGGGCCCCCTGGCCAAAAGAGGTTGATCACAAATAGATTCAAGATCATCAAGTGGTGTTTTCTTGGTCTCATCTGAAAACTGCTGCCCTGGGCGTTCACTGCATTGTTTATTTCTCTTTCAGCTTCCTCCATTCTCAAAAGGGAGAAGCGGCTGAGGACAAAGAATGTGCATTTCAGCTGTGTCACCGTGTACTACTTCACCCGGAGGCAAGGCTTCACGAGCGTGCCCAGTCAGGGGGGCAGCACGCTGGGCATGTCCAGCCGCCACAACAGCGTGCGCCAGTACACGCTGGGCGAGTTCGCCAGGGAGCAGGAGCGGCTGCACCGCGAGATGCTGAGAGAGCACCTCAGGGAGGAAAAGCTCAACTCGCTAAAACTGAAGGTAAAAATGTAAAAACTCATTTTTGCCAAACCTCCTGTCCTTACTGGAATTTGATTGAGTTAACCATTTTCGTGCTTGCATTCACAAACCAAACTGGGCATTTCATATAGCAGAGGCTTTTTTTTTTTTTTAAGCAAAAGGGTGTAGATTTTTCACTGAAATCAATGTAGGAAACTTACCTGACATCATTTGTTCATTCATTCCATAGATTTTTACTACTGAGTATTGTTAGATCATACACCCTGTGTTTGGGCCATGGCTAGTGGATGTCTAAAAACACAGGTAGTCCTCTCTCTACAGGAACTGACAGATTTTTCTTTTTCTTTTTGGCGGGTGGCTGGTACAGGTGTCCGAACTCATGACCTGGCTTTATAAGCTGTGCTGTAGCCCACTGAGATAACCAGCCTGCCCGGCACTGACAGATTAATAGGAAAGAAAAATATTAATCAAGTTGTCAAACAAAATAAAATCACCAGTGTACTAAGTGCTGAGAAGGAGGGTTGCAAGTTGTTATAAAAGTGTAAAACAGGGAATTGACGTGGCCCAGGAGGTCAAGGGAAGCTTTCTTAAGAAAGTGAAATGAAAATCTGAAGAGGAAACTAGGCAAAGAGGGTTGGCAAGAGTGTTTCAGGCATCAGGAGAAGCCAGAGCTGCCATGTGCCCCGGGGGAGCAGGGCGAGCACACAAAGACTGGTGTAGCTGAAGCGGGGGCAGGAGGAGCAACATGAAGGAGGCGGGGTGGGGCTTTGTAAAACATGCTAGGATTTTTTCCCTCTATATCCTAAGGTTATCAGAAGCCATCAAGAGTTTTAAACTCAGGGTTGAGGTGGTGGGATAATATGGTCCAGTTCATGTGATGGTGTGAGAATAGTTTTGGGGTAGGGGAAGCCATGTTGGGTGGGGAGGGGGCATTTGGAGTTAGACCAGTTAGGAGCCTGTTATAATAGTCCAGGAGAGAGGTGACGATAAGATGAGACCCATGGTAGGGAAGATGAAGAGAGGTGGGTAAAGGAAGAAATTTAGGAGGTAAAATCAACAGTGCTTAATGACAGATTGGATTTGGGAGGAACAGAAGGGGATTGTAAGGAATTCAGGAGTTTCTGTCTTGCAAAACTGATGGGGTTGTAGGTGATAGCACTGTTCACTATGACAAGGACATGACAAGGAATATTGAAAGAGGAGCAGGTTGGGGGTGGGGGTGGATAGGAGATTATTTTTGGACATCTGAGTTTGAGGGGCTTTGAAGTTATCAAGAGATGTCAGCAAGGTATACAGGTAGAGATACCTATTGTTGTGCCACTCTAGAGATTAAGTGGAAAGAAACACAACACAGAAAATATCTTTTGTCCACTAGAGACGCTCTGTATTTGTATTGGTCTATCACCCTATAAATACATAGGAAATATTAGGCAATCCAAAGTACTTAACATAAAATGTCATTTGTTAAATACCTGAAGCACTTAAGCACACCTATGTTACCTTTACCTTTAGTTTCCAGTATAAAGTCAGTGGGCAGTGGTGTGATGTGTTTCAAAAAACCTTTTTAAAATGTATATTGCAATTTGTATATGTGCCTTGTTCCCAATTGTACAAGTCAGTCACTTAAGTTAAGGTGAACACAATCTAGCTCCGGGCATATTTCCTTTGGCAATATTTTTGGCAGGTTTCATTGAAAGTCCCTTAAAAATATTGGTAGAACAATAGTAATGGCTGCCAATCATTAAGTGATTTTTATTTGCCATGCAGTTTAAAAACATTATTTACTTTAATCCTCACGAAGACCCAGTGGGATAGGTAAATTATTAGAGCATGTTTACAAACTGAGGAAAAATATGCACAAAGATGTTAAGTAACTGGCTCACTCAAATAGAAAACTGATTATATTATCTTGTTACTTCCTATTCTTTAATTAATTAATTATTCCCTACAGGCATTGGGAAAGACAATCTTTGTACCTACAGGGAGTCGTCCTTTCCTGTACTATGTGCAGTGATTTTTAACAGCTGGGAGACTATAACACTGTCTGAGAACCAAAAGATTTATTGTGGTGAACTGTGAGGTGCATTATACATGTGATGAATGTTAGGGGAAGCCTCAAACCTACAGCGACCTTCCTCCATATCAGGCAGTGATATATGCTGATACTGTAACTTGTACCCAGCTACTCCCATGCTTTTTCTTTTTAACAATCTGAACAACAGAAAAGCATCCTATTATAGATTTGTTTTTTTAAAATTATGCTTAGTATTATAAGTTGGAGAGGCAATCATATGAGTGTCTTGGTTATTGATAAGTGAAAACATGTAGATCTCCTCTTTGGTGAAGATGTAAACAAAAGGCATTTGGTTATCATCACTACTTCCAAATGAATACCAAGTGAAAAAAGAATGGGATTCTGAGGTGATCTGGTCTTAGTGTCACTGTACTTAAAGTATTCAGAAACACATATCGCATGAAGTTAAAAGAGCACAGCAATGCGGACAAGTTGTCTCAAATATCTGAGGGGAATCAATGGAAAAAATCTTGTATATTTTTTCTGTAATTCCTCTATCATATTAACTTTTATGATATGTAAAGTATCATTGACTATATTTGTCTAAGGTTTTGCTATCCAAAATCCAAAATTAGCTCTCCAAAAATTTCACTCTGATACTTGAAATTTCACTTTTAATATGACATTTATTTTGAAATATAAATACCCCTGGGGTAAGTAACAAAATAAATGTAGCTAAATTGATTCCATGATTTTGACTGGGGTAGCAGAAGGGTCTCTGGAGTAGATAGGTCCAAAGAAGAAAGCAAGGATTGTTAAAAACAAACTTTGCCCACTTTGCTTTTGCCTAAATTGGTCCACTGTGAGTGGCGGGGAACTGCCTGTTGAGCAAGGACAGAGTGAAGGCAGCTCTGACAGGACAAACATTTTCCGAAGCGCTCATCATGGAGACCAGGTAGAACACCATGGGAAACTCACTGGACTTGGAACTGGGTAGTTCACCTTCTGCTTATGAGTATCTGAGAACCAGCAGCCCCAGAACAGTAAGAAGAACTTTCTCTTTCCACCATGCCTCTGTGTTTTTCCAGGTGTCTCTGCTGAGTTCCAGATAGAGAAGCCATTTATACAATGGTACCTACCCAATGGGGCTTTAGTAGAGAAATATGAATAAAAAGCATAACCCTCATTTCTAGATGTTTCCTTATAATAAATATTTCAGAAACAAAATAAGAATAGAAATTTAGGCTTTGATTATAAAATTGCTTCTAATTTGGTAATTCATTTCTCAATCAAGTATGAGTTAGTTGTACTGAAAAATAATATATACAATTAGATTTGTAGAACAAATTCAATTCTATTTGGGGGGTTCAAGTGCATCTTTTTTGTTAACAGTGCTAGTGTTTCAAACATTGTCTATAAACAAGTAATAGAGAAAGCTGATTGAATAAAATGCATGTTCCTCGAAGAAATAACTAGCTTTAGATTTCTAAATTACAGAGCTCAGTCCTTTTTCTCTGTCAAGCCCATTCAAACATGTCATACTCTTCACAGTAATCCACACAGTCATCTTAATACTATACTCTTTTCCAAATTAAGTGCTTAGATTTCATCATCTGCACCACATTGATGAACAATTACATTAGCCTTTATTCCCATTTCACATGTATCTGTAAAATGCATTAGGCAGCCATTTCTGTGTTTTAAAGAGCCTTGGCATTCCAATTGCCTCTGGGTTCTGTCACAGTGGATTCTACTGCCTTGTTCTAGAAAATTTAATTTAGCTTTCACAGCTTTGACTTGCCTCTCTTTCTCGATGTTTTTGAACCTAAGTTGTTGTTCTGCTTCCTGAGATCAAGGATATACCTCCACTCTTGTTCCATTTCCAGTTCTTTCCACGGTTATATACTTTCTCAATTTCTCAGTCATATGTTACTTGTGTAATGTTTGCTCTCCTTTCCTCATTAAAATAAGAGTTGCCAGATGGTAACTCTTCCTTTAATGATTAACCTTTTTAAAATCTCTATGTAAATCTTCTTTACCCCAAATCTCAGACTTATGATGGTGCTTTTTTCATTTAATAACTTTACCCATGCTGTATTATAATTCTCCGCTTTACCTCCAGCTCTGCCCTTTGTATCTCTTCAGAAATCATGTGATTTATCCTTTGTATAAAGATCTTTAATGCCCTGGAGATATAAGGGATTAAGTGTTTGCCCTGAGAGATACAGGGGATTAGGTGTTTGTGAAAGATGGTTGAACTATATCACCATCAACATGTTTAGATGGGTTTTTAATTATTTCCCCATACTACGGTTTTTTATTATATGTGTCAGAATCTGCCGGTCATTATATCTTTGAACTCCACTTATTCCTACAGAACTTCTCTGTTAGATTCTATAGAGATTACGCCAAAACATGCTTCATGTCAGAGCTTCTGGAATGCATCCCTAAACGGAAGCCTGCCTCACATCAACTGGAAGACTTTGAGATGCCAAATACCTACCCTATCATATGCTCAACCTATTTGGACAAGTAGAAAATATACATAACCAAAGTGATGGAGACTACAGGGTGGGCTTCAGCCCTGGGCAAATGAAATACATTTAAGAATATGTTCTTCAAAATATTGTTGGTATTTTAGTTTAAGTGGAACAATTAAGCATATGTAGTCAAATCCTTACTCTCTTCCTGTGCAACAAACATTGCGTTAATTCAGGGAAGTCAATTGCACTGATTCTCCTGCTTCGAATGTTGGGTGCATCTAGCATTATGCTGCAGTCAGCTCCCTGACGTTGCTCAGTAAACTGGATTGTGTACATCTCTTCCCAACGGTAGCTTGAAATCGGTTATAATGGAAGTATTTAAACCATGAGACTTGGCAGACATGACCAATTAGAACTTTTTTTTTTGAGATACTAAATATTTACCAGCATGCTGCTATATTCATCTGGCTTATTAGCCAGAAAGAAGGAAGGATAAAGGAATTTAAGAAAATTTTATATCTTAT